CGGGTCTCATAAAATGCAATACATATTTTTGTTGACCTCATACAGTAAGGTTTAATGAAATATATGCAACTAGTTAGAAAGCAGGCATTGCCATTTTGGTATCATAAAAGTAAATCCAGAAAATTGACAATTATGTCACAATGCTCTACACATTCAATTAATATACGTAGAAACAGCGTAGGACTTGTTAAGCCCAAACTAATAAACCCCGCCAATAATTTTTAATGTCGCCAGGACACCGGCAAAGAAAGCTTGTGTTGTCTCATGAAAATTTGTTAAGGAACTTAAGCTGGGCATAAAATACTGGAACTTTTTATACCCAAACTATGCGCTTCTGTCAGTTGTTATAAAGGACACATGTCCATATTCTGTCTCCTGTCAGCCAACAGTGCTAACGCATAAATTTTTTATTCAAACCCACACACCAGAAATGATTTTGTGAGCTGTGACATAGGCACACCAGTGTGAGGAAGTCGTGTTCACGTCGAGCGCAGGCGAGGTATTTAACAGTAGAAGACTTTAGTAAATAATTACCTATTGGGGTCTTTTTTATGGATGGTTTTCTTTTTGCGAAAGGAAGGGAAAAGCGAGACAATAAATTTAACGTATAGTTTTGAGTAATTATAACTAACTAATTTAAATATTTTATTCGAAACTGTTTACCGTGTTGCTTCTTAGCATAAACCATACAAATAGCAAGAAAGCGAGTGCTCAGCTGTCACTTACTCAACGAATGCATTTAAAAACAAGATAGAATGCTATAGTCGATTTCCCTGACTACCAGATACCCGTTATTCAGCTAGTGGAAGTGCTAACGAGAAATTTCAAAATTTTCTGGAATAGAGAGAGTTTTGGGAGTTTTGTGGGCGTTAGAGTGAGCGTGGCAAAAAAGTTGTTTGGCACATCTATAGATATTTACAAAATATATTCAAAAGTGAAATAATATCAAATTATTTTAAAATTATGAGCCTTACAGATTTGTGCAATTGATGTTGATTAAAAAAATATATACTTTATATGGTTTGAAACGGGTATAAATATATATACATTTATATTTATATATTATATTATATTATTATATTATACATACAGCAACGTCCATAGCTATACTATGCCGCTCAAACCGTGTTTAGCTCATAACTTTTGAAATAATAATCAGTTTTCGATATTGATAATTGGCAACGAAAATGATTTGTCTGTGTACAATGGCGATTTGGTTTGTACATACGTTCAAAAGGATGTAACTCTACCTGTTACACCTTTTTTTAACGAATCTAGAATATCCTTTTACTTTACGGGAATAAAAATACAAAATAAGACAAAGTCACTAAGCGTAAAGAAAATGAAAAAGGACACTGAACTGGACTTCTGTCTTGCGTGGGAAAGGCAAACTGGTTTGCTTAGGGCGAAAATACAATAAATTATGTGTGGTCACAAAAGGCAACAGACAGTACAATGGAAAACAATTATAGATTGTGAGGAAGAACGTTTGAGTTACACAGAAACTGGGCAAATTCGAAGTGAGGGGTTTAAAAGTATTGCCAAAGGATTGTATATTCTGCTGGCCGTTGTGTAATTTACGGACTCTGAGGGATCGGATCTTGCTGACCATTTTTAAACAGCTGCACTTGGATTCACAGCATGATGGCATCGAAGCCCCTTTGCTGCACGTGGCCTGCTTACAGTTTAGATGTAATTTAACGTAATGTTCCAAAGTAACAATTTACGTGTAATTACATACAAAAAAAGTCAAGCTTTCTGTTCTCAATATATATATATGTACATATTTTTTTCATATAATATATTTTAGGTGTACATTTCAGGTTAGCGTTATAAGCTGTACTAATTTGGAGGGCTAACTACATTATATTATATTATATTATATTATATGTAGTTAAATCGAAAGAAATAAATTATACGCTGGCCTATTTTGACAGAATTTTATGTTAAATATACTCATAATTTGAACCTGCTATATAACCATTTGTGTTTTAATGGAAAGATCATTTCACCTCCGATTGAATGATGAAACACTACGCTTTGCCCATTGAGTCCCCACTGAAAAACTGGGTCTAAATGACAAATTTTTAAACTTGTTTTCTGGGACCGAAAAAAAATATGTATGACAAATTGTTGTCTTAGCAAATTAAAAAAATTGGAAAAATTACTAAAATTAAATAATACAAAATCATAAAAAAATATATGGAAGTTTATTTTTTAAAAATTTATGATTGGCAGATGGAAGAAATGATGCATATGAAAACATTTATAATTACTTCAGCTTAGAGAACGTTGCCTTATATTTAGACAAACTCCTTTAATCATTTGAGACTACAGAATGAAGCTTTCTATATAGGCAGTTTTATATATGTGTAGATGAGCTCAGTTGTCAGCAATACACTCTGGCCTTAGGCAATATATCTATTCAGAATGCTGTGAATCCCTCCTGAATTTCTGTTCTTTTTGACCCACGCACTTTGGCAACAACATTTTAAGCCACTCAGTAGTTTTTTTGTAGAACATTCTCAGCTTTTGACATCCTTCATTTTATCCTCCAGCAGAATCGTCGCTAGGATACCCTTTGCGTCTTTCAACACAGCCTCCCGTTATTTGATGCCTTGTTAACTTTCATCTGCGGAATGGATGTAGTGAAGGGCAAGAATTTTTCTTGTTTTATTTGGTTTTTCAATAAATGGACTTTCTGTAGAGAAGGCGGCGGCCGTTGGCAAAGCTGTTTTTATTTTTTTATTAACGAAAAGAACTACGCCTTCGTTTCATACATTTTTCTTATTTAACATTTCTTGTAAACTTGTTTTTGTTTTTTGGGGTGGCGTTTTATCCACTGCCAGTTATTTCTTTGTGTAGAAATATAAACTGCCAGTTTATTAGCTTTAAAAAGGTAACAATTGGAATGGGTATATTGTAGCTTCTGTAGGTTACCGGAGCAGCAATTCGCTGAACCATACACCTATTTTGTTGGTATTAATAATAAAATCAAAATCTAAATAATATAAATTTAAGATACTAAAAAAATTTGTATTTGCTTTCCATAAGACATCCATAAAACCTCTAACTATTGGTCACGGAGTGATCATTCATTTATTTTTTTTTTTTATGTTTCACAAGAGCCCTTATAGACAGGAGGTGTGTCCGTACGTTTAACTTGTTAAAATACAGCTCTTTACTTGGCGTGGCATTTTTGTATATTAGTTTTTAGGCTTCTCGAAAGTTATGAAATTAACTTCATTTAGCTGCACACTTTCTATGTTTTCTTTATTTGGGTAACTACACATTTAGCTAAAACTTAAACCAGCATTATGTACATTTTAGGTCAAAGAAAATGTTCATTTTACATCCGCGTAAAAAGAAAGAGATGTCACGAACCTGCGAATTTTGAAACCCAATATATCCTATGGTTTATTTATGTATATATTGGGCTATGAAGAAATATCAGGACCTTGACTACACATATATTAGATTAAATATTTCACTTTCCTTTCAGGTCTCTTGAAATTAATTCTTTTATTTCGTTTTTTTATAAAGCCATTGATGTTTTATATACATATGTACATATGAATTGCGGTCTATGGCAGGCTTACTAATATGTAGATGGCAAGGAAAGGTCTAGTTTATTTTTAATCAGCCAAGTTCAAATCCACTGGGCTTATATAACATTTTAGTATATTATGCATATGGTATTTTTACGGATTTCCTTGGACACGGTATAAACCCGTTTTGGTTTAAGTACACTCGCGTACACATATTTATTTGCATGAATTTGCATGCTCTCCTCGTAACATCTTAAAATTAGATAGAATGATATAGTCGAGTTCACCGACTATCTAATACCCGTTACTCAGCTATTGGAAGTGCAAGTGCAAGAGGTCTGGGTAACTTTTAATCATCCAAAGTTCCAAACCACTGGGCTTATATACCATTTTAGGATATTGTGGTATTATGCATATGGTATTTTTACGGATTTCCGTTCACACAGTATAAGCCCGTTTTGGTTTGAGTACACTCGCGTACATATATTTATTTGCACGCATTTGCATGCTCTCCTGGTAACAATTTAGAACTAGATAGAATGATATAGTCAAGTTCACCGACTATCTAATACCCGTTACTCAGCTAGTGGAAGTGCTAGAGAGAACTTTCAAAATTTTCAGAGAATTTTAGAAATCTAGAAAATTTTAGAGAATTTTAGAAAATTTTTTTAGCCGAGTCGATCTGGCCATGTCCGTCCGTCTGTCCGTATGAATGCCTCGATCTTAATAGCTACAGAAGCTAAAATGTTGAGATTACGCACGCAGCTTCCAGAGACTTAAACGCAGAGTAAGTTTGTTTCCATATGTTGCCACGCCCACAAACCGCACAATACTGTCACGACCACACTTTTGAAAAATGTTGTGATATTGTTTCAGTTTTGTATACATATATGTATATTGTAAATTTTGTTGCCATGCCCACTCCAACGCCCACTAAAATTGTCACTCCCACACTTTTGAAAAATGTTTTTTTTTTTTTTTTCATTTTTTTTATATATTTTGTAAATTTCTATAGATTTGCCGAAAAAAAAATTGCAACACCCACTCCAATGCCCACAAACCGCCCAAAACTGTCATGCCCACTCTTTTGAAAAATGTGATTTTTTTTTACTTTATTTTTATATCTTGTAAATTTTTAAAGATTTGCCAAAATACTTTTTGCCAAGCCCGCTCTAACGCCCACAAATCGCTCATAATTCTCACGCCCACACTTTTAAGTGTTTTTAATTTGTTTTTCGTTTTATTATTTTTTTGTTTCCAATTTCTACCGATACTTCAGAAAATTTTGAAATTTCTCGTTAGCACTTCAACTATCTGATAGTCCGGAAACTATTTATACTATTAAATTATTATTTTTTGCACAGCCGCTTCACCACTGTTCTGTATTTCGGTAGGCTTAATCTTATCAGTTTTACTGATAAACATTGCTTAAACGATAAAAGCGATTGCTCATGGGCGAGGCACAGGTGTAGCTGGTCAGAAAATGAAGCGTTCAGTTTAAGAGAGCCAGCTGGTAAAACAAGGTAGTGTTCTGGAATCTCGAAGGAAGCGGTAGTGAAAATATAAAAACTAAAGCTAGCTAACAACTGGTTAATTAGTAAATGCCTTCGTGAATAAAAATATTTCTGTTTTCCGTTTCTGTACACAATAATTAACTTACGTTACAAATATTTCAAGAACGTGATTTTAGATACGCAAAACTTATTATCTAATCGGAAGGCCTTAAACTATGTTAGCTTTAGCAAGTTTTAAAATTGGGGCGCGGGTCCACAATGTTCTTATGTGTAATTTACACCTGACTCATTTTTTTTATGTATCACCGATTGCAAAATGTCAAATTATCAGTTGTACAGTATTACCAATCTGTATATACATATAAACTACACCAGTAGTTTGAGGATCTCATAAAATGTGAAAGCGATATAATTGAATATACATACATATATACCATACTTGACTCATTGACATTTACATTTGCTAGCAAGTTTTTAAATTGGGGCGCGGGTCTACAATGTTCTTATGTGTAATTTACACCTGACTCATTTTTTATGTATCACCGATTGCAAAATGTCACAATTATCAGTTGTACAGTATTACTAATCTGTATATATAAACTACACCAGTAGTTTGAGGATCTCAGAATGTGAAAGCGATATCATTGAATATACATACATACATATATAACATACTTGACTCATTGGCACTTACAATGATACATTTGCTATCATCTATTACTATTTACTGATGTGATAGTTTATGGGTTTGTACATCCAACGCACATTTCCACATCCAACTTACATGTGACATCCAAAGCTTAGCCCGATTTAATAGGTAGAATATAATGATAATTGATGCAATTAAATTTTTAGTTACCACAACGAAAACGAGCTACCTAACCATGAATTCGAAGCAACTTTTGGCAGCAGCTTTCTGTCTAGCTGCTGCTCTTATTCTGGGAACAAAGGCACAGGAAAATGCAATGTTGCAAATTCCCCCTTCATTGGTGGAGTGTTATAATACGTCATACTTTATGAATCGGGATAATCGTCTACCAGCCAATATGGACACGCTCATTTCTCTTATAGAAAAAGTAGAAAACAGCTACGCAGCTAGTTCAGGTGTACAAGCCGATATTCGAACCGTGTCGGTGTCCTTGCTGCATCGTTTCCGTCAAGATGGCATTAAGAAGGCTGCTGGAATAAATGCAGCTGATGGGGTAATACCGTACAGTCCAACAGGCTTTCAGTTTCCGAAGTTGAAAATTTTGCTCTCACGTCTAATACCGGGAAACGCCAATACCTTCCCCAACAGTTCATTGACAAGAGTGGAGCGGTGCTCCCTCCATTTTATGCTATCAAGCACATTTGATACAAGAACGCGCGGCGATGAAAACAATGTGTGCAATCAACTATCTCAGTATCGAGCCCAGCGACTGCCAAGATCCTTGAAAAAGGGGCAAGAAAATAATTTTATAGGCTATTCTGAATGGCTGGAGGCTCGCTCGAAACGAGGACGATCTTCCGACACAGTATCAAGATACGAACAATTTGCAGAATTAGACTACGAATCCGACTGGGCTTATGCCGGCCCTGAAACTAGCCAATGCCCCGTCGAGGATGGCTTAGTACGAACACGCTGGGGAACGATTTCTGGAGGCACTCTGATCGCCGGCATTGCAGCTGGTGTCCAGCAGCAGACAGTACAAGTCAATACCCTATTGACCCGGTCTGCCCAGCGTCGCGCACGCAGACAGTCCCAGACAGGCAATACCATTGACAACAGGTGGGCGGCAACTTTGGCTGGGGAGTTGGCGGAAGTCACGTTGGTCCAACTACCAGTGACGAATGGCAATGCCGCTTCCGTTGGAGCTACCGGTGGATGGAATGACACAGTCCTACCCCATTGGTACTTCTTATCGCAGCGCAACAACCTTGAGGCCACCGATGCCGAGATCCGTGGTGGCCTTGACGGTCTGATTCTGGCTAAGAATGTGGCAAGTTGGAGGACTCAAGCATCAAGCCTTAAACTTTCCCAACTGCTGCGCATGTACTACTCAACAAATGGTGTTCTTAGTTCCGGGATCAATGCCTGCAGTAGGCAAAATCAATTCACAAATGTGGCTCCCTCGCAGGAAATGGAGGACCAGACCAATGCATTTGCCTTAGTACTGGATCGTGGGATGCAGCTACGTGTCACCCTCCAGCCTTCTCTTATTTCCCAATTTGCTGGTAACGCCACCGCATCTCTGGTGACGTATGTGCGTAAGTAATAATAACTTATTATTATCGGGGAACCACCTAGCTTTTACATTGATCTTAATATAACCAAAATATGGGACACTGTGCTAAACTTTTAAATACATTTTTTTTGCTTCCGTGTGCATTACGGCTTACGTTTTCCTTAAACAGCACAATCGTTAAACGACGTCTCTTGTATGGCCACCAGTAATCTTGATTTGACAGATGCCATAACTCCAATGATTAACCTGTACCTTTTCTTGGATACTTCTTGGCAATACAGCACCATTGTTGACTATGTAGCGTAAGTTGGTTTTCTTAAAGTATTGCATAGATCATATTTTATATAAAAAATAATTTTTAAAAATTATTTTTAGTTATGTTATCCAGCAGCTTAATATTCACCCCTATGCCAGCACAATCACAATGCTTTCAGCACAAGATGGATCGATTATCGTAAACACCACAAACTATATTATGGATGTCTATCAGCAATGGAATGCAACTACACAGGCTACTTGTAAGCTCCATATGCGAGTAATTTGCTTTTGACTAAACGTTTCTTCGCAGATACTCAGGGATTCAACCTTCCTAATGTTTTGCGTACAATTCAGAACCTAACCCAGAACTTAATGAATGAAGAAAAGACTAATTCGAGCCTAAGTGGTCACTCACTAGTAGCTCTAATCATTCCGAATCAGTAAACGGTGAATGATGGGGACTCCAGCTACGCCACTACAGAAATTCAGTATATTAAGGAACAAATTCCAGACCTGCGTTTTATATACTATGGTGGTGGAAGTATTCAGCGGTTTTCAAGCTTTGTCCGAGATCCAACTCAAGACCTTTTCTCTCTCACGTTGGGCAGTACACCGGCGACATCAGCGGGACCCGTGGCAAAACGCATTGTCCAAAGTAGGTCAGCTTATTTTTGTATTTAAAAAAATTTTTAAACACTTTTTGTTCTTGCAGTTCCCCGTCGCATTATTAATCCACGTTGTGGATCAAGTTGGTACACAAATAGCTGGGGTATTCAAATAATTATTTCATAAATATCATTTTTATATTTACATTTTAAAATTCTTAACAGGTACTGATCAAACAGACCAATATGTGGGGCCTGGAAAGGTGAACTTTTACCGAGTTTCTGCAAACTATTTCTTTGGAACTGGTGCCAACCGGTATTTGACCATTCAATCTCAGAATGGAGGAACTTATACTATATGTACTTCACGTACATATGCATGGCCGCAACAGAACTCAACGACTCTTTCTACAGCAAACTCGATAGATCAGAGTTGCACACAAATAAGTGGAAATAGTTATAGCTACGATCTTTCAAGTGCCTGTGAGGGATACTACACTATCACCCAGTGTCCAGACTTGTATTTGTCAGTCCAAGCTACATCAAACACCACGTCCTGTATACAGGATGCTTGCCAGACCCCTGACCAATGGCGGTTTATAATGTCAATGGTCAACATGGGATGCTACAGCGGTGTTTCGGGTCTAGCAGCCAGCCTGCTAATAACTCTATTCGCATTGTTAGCTATAAAGCTGATTCAATAATTGGTAACTAGAGTATGGTAGTATTAGTGGTACTGCCGCAGGTTTTAAAGCATAAGTCAAGTCTTCTTACACAAACAACTATTTTTTCGTTTTGCATTAATCTTTTATTTTTTCGTAATTAATGTCCTAAATAAATGTCCTAAATATAAATATTCTGGCTATTTTATTTGATTTGTTTGGTGGTTCCCGATAGGCTCTGTTTAAGAGAGACAAACTTATAGTAATTTTACAATTTTATGTTCTGTTTATAGCAATTATGGATTACTTTCCGTCTCCGAAACGGTCTGAAATATCCAATCTAACCACAATAATGACTGATTTATATGTGTTTGTTGACACCTACTGGCCCTTCGGCTGGGTTGTTGATTACGTTGCGTAAGTTTGCTTAACGATATATTAAGTACAAAATTTAAAAATGTATTAATAACACGTTTTTTCAGTTATGTACTGCAGGGCCTTAATATTCACCCATACGCAAGTAAGGTTACCATTTTCGCAGCTTACGATACGACAGTCATTGTTAATACCACCGACTACATAATTAACGTCTATGAAAATTGGAATTCAACTTCACACTCTTGGCGTAAGACTAAATTGAACTGATTGATATTTCAATAATTGTATTTATTCCAGATCCACCCGGTTTTAGTCTGCCACTTATCCTAAACACTTTAAATACAAGAGTTGAGGACTTGCTTGAAACAGATCGTGCCAACGATAATCTGGGAGGCCGATCATTAGTTGCATTATTAATACCCAGCCCGCTATCTTACGTAGATGAGGAGGACTATGATTATTGTCAGCGATATTTGGAAAGATTGCGTGTGCGTTTGCCCAGCTTGCAATTTATTTACTATGGAGGGGGAGCGTTGGTAAGGTTCCACGACTTCGTTCGCGATCCAAGTAAGGACTTGTACCTTTTGAACACCGAAAAGCCACCCGACAGTTGCGGTGCTCCCGTTATTACACGAATTCGCCAAGGTAATAACCTTTTTTCATATATCAGCAAGTAAAATTTATCGCCAGATTTCTTTTTAGTGCCTCGTCGAATTTCAAATCCGCGTTGCAATGTAAATGGCGCTATTAGCGAGTTTGGAACAAATTCCCTGCCACAATTTGGCCGTTTGGGCAGTATTAACTTTTACAAACTGGAATCACAATATCTACCGGATCGGCAGACTATGCGTTACCTTAAAATTACACCCATAAGTCAAATTACATTTACTGTTTGCACCTCCCGAAGCATCGAACGACCATTTAGGAATTTAAGCGCGCCATTAAGGGCGGATGAGAACTGCGAATCTACAGCATTGGGATTATTTAGCTTTGATCTTACTGATGCGTGTGTTGGTTATTCCTTTGTTAATTGTCCTCCTTTATTTTTCTCAGTCCAGGCCCAAAGCTTTGGCGAGGTTTCATGTATAGTTGAGTCGTGTCAAACTCCAGATGAGGCGCAGTATGTCATTAGTTTAAATAATCTTGGCTGTAACGGTGCTACAGTCGCAACCATTAATATGGCATTACCTTCTGTGGCTTGTCTACTTACATTTTTTCGCATTATAAAAAAATCGAATACGTAATGAAAAAATTCAATGAATTTTTTCGGTATAAATAGTGAAGGTATTTGTTTTTTTTAAGCAAAGAAACACAAAAAAGATATAACATTTTAGTTAAGTGTCCAAGTACTCTGTTTACTATTTTGAAATAAATATCCTCCTACGGAGATACCTGTCCTGCTGCCTAATAACAGATTTTTATATTCAAAAAATATAAAGATTTTTGAAAAACACCCCTAAATTGCCTTAATATAAAAACAAAGTGTATTTAAAATAAAGTAAAAACAACCTGGAAACGGTGTCCGTTTTTGCTTTGTTGATTTCTTGATTTTTTAAGTTACACCTAAAAATATAATTTACTTATTTAAAATTGTGGTCAATGGCTGTTCGGTCTATTTGACTAAGTTACACCTACGTAAAAATCCAACAAAAATAAACTAATTTTTTCGACAAGTCCTATCCTATCAAAATTGATAAAGGTTCAAAAGTTGAATTCTATATCTCGTGGAACTCACCACAGTTTTTCTAGTACATTGAAAAACTATGCAAGGCATTAATGAAGTTTAAAAAGTTATCCAAAAGTGATACTATGTTCGTTAGTTAGCTGCCGAAGCCATTCTGCCATTCTGACACACTTAAATATTTTAACAACCCTATATCCATTTGTGTCATAAGCACTTTTATTATTTTCCATATATTTTATAAACTATAAAAAGTCCATATATATTTTTTTTTCAATTTATCCAATACACCCTACAAGCTAGCGAGTGCACCATCCTACTCAGGCCAGAATAGTATTGAGATTTTAGCGACATCTAGATCTGGATTGTAATTTACTTTTTGACGTGTAAGGTAAAATAAAAGAATCATTGTTTCGACATTTAAATTACACTTGAAAGGTGGCGCGGTTACTTTGCATTTGTATTTACACCACAATTACATACATAATATTTATGAAAGTTATACCCTTACAGAGTGTATAATGATTTCAATTTAAAGCGATCATGTAACTATATTCTTCTGTCTGAATGTGCGCTGGTTAGACCAGATAATTTAGTGAGTTGATTTAAGTAATAATCTGAATTACGTTTTTAATAACCGTCTGGCCTAACGCAGACAATAATTAAATAAATAAATAAAATAATAATAAAAACATTAAATACTTTCCAAAATGTCCTGTCAAAATACTCATTCTTTGTACTTAGCTTTATTTTTCCTTTTTTTTATGATAATACTATTGTGCCTAGAATTAGTGCAAGATACTTTAATTTTTAAATGGTATAACAAACATTCTACAATGCTACAAACATCTCCCCATTGTTACATTTTAATAATCTAAAAATCGTCGGAGGTTCACACTACCTTCAAGTGTTTGAACATTATTTTTATTTTTCGCTTTCTCATTCAATACTGTCTGACAACGACCAAGGAAGACAGCAGCTCCATGACTGATGTTGCAACAATCCAAATTTCAGGTATAAAGGGCAGTCCCTTTGTTGTGCGGAAGGGAGTAAGAGGGGGTAATGACGCTTTCTAATCTTAATCAAGCGAAAGGATTAGGGCTTAAGTCAATCCGATGAGATATGTCAAAGTTTGCATTTTGTTTGACTTTATTAATAGCTAATAAAGTCGATTATGGTTCAAAATCTCTTTATTAACTAACACTATCTTTAAATTATAAATTATTGTTTACTTTACAAAATTTAAGGAACACCTACATAGTATATATGCCTTGTTTTTTCTTATCGGTTATTAAAATTAAGGTATTTTCTTATTTATTGCTTATGATTATATCTCTTCTTTTTTTTATTGATTTTAGTGTGAAGTCTTTAATCATGGCCATGAGAGTGTTCAACAACGAATTGAATTTAAAATAAGAAGCAAAATTGATAAAAACACTTCAAAAGTTCATAATAAGAAACTAAAAATTATAGGTAAGTTCCAAAGCTTGTAAACTAACACAATGTTGGTATTTAATATGAAAAAGGTCTTCTATAAAGTTTTTTAATGTGCTTCATTGGAAATGAAAATAATTCCAATCCATGGAAGACAGACCAACTTAATCCAATCTGTCAGAACGACCGCAGCCCAACTCATTTTATTTTATTTTGGTATCTGACAAAAACCAAGCCCCAAGACACAAAACTCCAAGTTTCTATATGCACTTGACTTACGTCTTTAAGGACCTGCATATGCTCCAGAAAGCCACCGGCTGTGACCACAAAACAGTGCCTGAGACCAACATTTTTGAAGTTAAGAATGTGCCTCGGAAAATATTATTGCTGACTGTGCAACGGTAGTTGATGAAATACTAAAATATCATACGATACATGTACATAGAAAAGGGGCTGGGACGCATATCAGTGTCCTGACAGGCGAACTCGGAATATGCAAGGGACAAATCCAGGGCGACCGCAAATCAAACTTGCTGCTAAAGTTTCTGGCCAAGGGCAATGGGTAACATGTGATAAGTTTATTGTCTTGCCGGATGGCGCAAAACGAAAATAGGAGTGAAAGAAGGACAGAGTACCAATATCACATTTCATAAAGGAAATATGCTTTCTTTGTAAATAAATTAAGTTGTCTCGCCCACAAATATTAATTGCTTAATTAGCATATGTGTCTGGCATGGACGAAGGAACTCGAACAACATTTTTGTTTAAAAGTTGGTTGGGGCAGGCAATGACATTTTGAACACAAAACCCGCCTTGGGAGAAGAGTTGTCTAACTGACGTAAGCCACAACATATTTGCTTAGCAGGACACGTGCTCATTTGTTATTAGAGCACTAATTTAAAGAAAAAAAACATAAATGACATACAAACAAAAGAAATATGTTGGCCAACCTTTTTTTGTAGTTTAATTTCTGGAATTATTTTGTTGCACACCGGGAATTCAATGGGAATTGCTATCGTGTGGCGCAAGGTGCTGTCACTAGAGTCTGAGTATAATTGCAAAGTATACTTTTAGAATAATGTAATATACGCCGGCCTTCTATTACAACAGGGTATAGCCGTGCATGAAAATTTATACAGTCAAAATGGAGGGTTGGTATTTATGTTTGGACTTTAATTATTGTTGATTCCGCTTCTTACATCAAGTAATGTCCAGCACGGTGTCTTTTGTTGCTTCAGATGTAGGTTATCGATTTTTGCTTTGCTAATTACTATTGTAATGAAAAAATGAGCTCGGGCATGAAAAATTACAGTTTTAAATCTAATATTGCACCTGTGCATCGTTTATATTTTAATACACTCCATAAATATGTTGCATGTAAATTTGAGCATACATGTATGTATATTATATGTTTAATACTTTATTTTTTTTTGCAAGCGGAAGAGGAAGTGAAGAATAAGCTCTTTTTTTCCTCATGGCAGACTCTGGAATTAAAAATGTTTTGTTAAAACACCAAGAAGAACACCGTATCATCATTTAATTGCAGATACCAAGGAAACCACAAGCTAACAATCCGTTAACTTTTTGCCACTCAGCTGGTAAAACTTAAGGAAATGGGTACCCTTAGCAGTTGCTTCATATGTATAACGAAAACTTTTTATATTTTTTCTGTCTTTTTTTTTGGTGTAACTGTAATGGGCTCTTCACCATTAGCAGCAGGAAGAAACAGACCCGCAAATACTGAAGAATAAAAGACTGGGGAGTTATAGGCAGACATACGCGTATTTTTTTATTTATTTATTATATGTTTGGCTTGCTGTTTACACTTGAGGCGAAGCAATACTTATACCCGTTACTTTTAAAGTTCAGAACAACGCAAAAAACCATCGAAAACGGTCACGCCGTTATTTTAATGGAAACTTTAAAATTTGGAACCGAAATACAATGCAATTAGCAAATTGATTAGATCCGTGACATACTCATCCATAGCAATTCGTCTTTTTCCGGTCATCTTTAACGTTTGGCGTCAGGATACCTTAAATGCTGTTACGGTCAACAACCTTAAGTCAACCCTTTCTGCTTTGTTTCTGACCGACCTTTAAAAATTTGTAGCTCGAATAAAAGGATCTGTGTTGTAAATGTAAGCACGAAATCAGAATAATATTTATTGTTAATAAGGGTTAGAACTGAAAAGATTCTGTGCGGTTTCTTAAAGCGATACGAATACGTTTGCCCAATTTTCAATTAAGCGATAAGGATCTAATAAAACTTTTCATACTCGAAAATGTCCTTGACCGCAAGACATGTGCCTGGAGTTCTGTGATTAACGAAGTGTTGACCAAGTCAAAATGAATGTTGAACTTTGACGCTGATAAGAAAGCTGACCGATAGAAGCCCCCTTTTATTTTAGTAAACATGTGTGCGACCGTCCAAAGAAGTTGGGGATGTGAGTGGTTGGGGATGGGATTTTGTAGTCCGCATACCAACCATGTGCTAAGTGGCATGTGGTCGAATTGATGCAAGTTTTGGGTCCATGGTCAAGAATAGTTTCAATTTACGCCTTATGAGCAAACATTTATCAAATGTATTTTAGAAATTTTAAATGTCAAAAACCCTCTCGCACTCCCCCGCAAAGCCTTTTTCACAGCTGTGAGTTCAACCCTTATCGATGCCGAAATGGGTTAACTGTCCGGTTTGCGAGTTTGAGTGTCCGGTCATGGAATAATTAATCACACACTTGCATGCGATTTGTAAAGTTAATTACCGTGTCGAAAGCCCATATTGGGAGCGGGTTTCTCTTTCGTTCTGCTTAGGAATCATAAGTGGTAGGTATGAGATGGCCGTGGATGTCTAAGTGCTCGGCTTGCCTAAAATTTTTTACACTTTAGCACATATTCCAACTGCACAGAGGCGCATTGATTATTCATGCCTGACCATTTTCCATCGCCGCTCCGACCCCCACTAAACCGACAGGATAAACATTTGCCAGTGACAGCGTCGTTGAGTGTACTTGGAGTCTTGCGTTTATCTTGGGATGTATCTGTAGTAGTGGGGCTGATGAGGTTTCGGTTCTACATATAGTAGTTTCTAGTTATCTTTGCGCACCAGCTCTAGTCAAAAGCTGTTGAATTTAAAACTATCTGTACAATATTCATGGAGGACACCGCATTGTTATGCATAGGTGGGAACAATGTTCAGAGCATAAGGTGGTTGCATATAAAATGTTTTAAATTTTAGAGTTATGTCAAATGTATTTATTACGAGAAGTACCTATGACTTTAAATAAAACAATGGACGGAATAGTTTAAAAGACATTTATTGATTTTGCTACGCTTCTACGAAACTTTTGCCAACTTTACACTAAAGGGTTCGATTTATCATCCAAACAGAATAAATGAAGAGGAAGATGACAATTGGGAATGTCCGTTAATAGCATTTTATACCCGTTAAATATAGAATAAAGTGTATACAAGATTCGTTAAAAATTATGTAACAGGTAAAAGGAAACGTTTCCGACCCTATTAAGTATATATGTATATTATTTATCAGGATAACTATTCCATCTGATTTGGAGCTAGAAAGTTTAAAATTAACATGCAGATTCTAGTGATGCTTACGATGTACAAGCATTTTTCGGAACGTTGCCACGCCCAATATAATATTTGTGGCACACCCAATTTTTATCGTCATGCCAAAAAAAATTAGGTCACACATTTGTAACATTGTGAAATTGTGATAGTCGGGGAATTCAACTGTAGCATTTGTCTCGTTTTTTTTTTTTTTAATATCAACTGTGCACTCTCACTAGCTGAGTATAGAGTAAATAATAGCCAAGGAACTCGACTATAGAATTCTCTTGTTGGTTTTAATTTCACTTATTTTGTTTAATAATTTTTAAAATAGTTCGTGTCAAAATATGTTCGTGCCAGCAGTTTAAATAAAATACAGCGCTTTTGTTTATACAAAAATGTTGATTAAAATCTAACGTTAAAAATTTAACTAATTTACAGTCTCATTATATTCTTTGTTACAATTACAAACAATTAACAATAATGAATGAAATTACTAAATTGCTTTTGTATAAACCTACAACCTCTTCCAGCGACACGCAACTCTGATCCATGAGGGCATAAATAAATACAGAAAATAAAGAATTTCACACGAAAATTCATAAATTAATCAAACATATTTTATCCTCACAAAGGAAGGTTAGAGGAAAATGGGTAAAAGGTCGCCGTCTGCACGCGACAATTGACCCTTTTATTAATTAAATTTTATAGGCACTGAAAGGACATTTCTGTGTTTACCCAGTTAATAATCAAACAAGGAAACAAATTGTCTTGGGGAGGGAGTGAAATGTTTACCGTAATTATATGAAGAGTGTCGTCTGCTTTGATAATCAAGGTCGTCGATATAAATTTACAAAAAGTAGCTGATATTCTTGGGTGTATGCCTCTCTGTGGTAGAAAAATATTGAAATACGCCTAATACTTTTTTTTGTTATAATAGGAAAAAAGGGTTGGCAGCCTTAGCGGGAAGTGACACCCTTGCAGCTCTTCGAACAGAAGCTTCGGTAGATTAATATTCAGATAGGTAGACCGACAGGATATGTATTCCCTGCATATGATGTTTATCTCTTGGTCTATTAGCCCACATAAATTATTAAGGCCTTTTCTGAAATGTGCATGCAGTCTATTAGCACTTGAGGTCTCAAACTATAACTATTGCGTGTGCCCTTTTAATGTCCTTTGCATGTTTGGTTCACTTGCCAAAACTTACCATGCCTCCATTTGTATTAATTTACATACGACACGCATTCTCGCACTTTGGCCTCTGTCCTGGCAGAAGAAGCTATAAAGGCTGCAATCTATGATACATTTGTGAAGCCAAATATTGGGTCGCATTAAATTAGTTGAATTATCCAATGGATTTTAAGATAACTTTCTTTGTCAACTATATACAAAATGTTTTGAAATCATTCAAAGTTTAGTAACAGAAACTAGTATTTTGGGGTGGTTTGTAGACGTTTTAGTGGGAGTAGCAACATTAGTAAGAAAACTTGCGCTACGTGTATGTCTCTGGGAATTTGAATGCTTAATCTTAACTTCAAGCTTTTAAAGTACCCGCGATCTCTTTCATACGGACGGACAGAGAGTCTGACATGGCCAGATCGATTCGACTATTGATCCTGATAACGAATATATAATATATACATACTTTTTATGGTCGGAAACCATACCATTTTACATCTATATACTTTCATCGAGTAACGCGTATAAAAAATAAAATGACGACACACCCGGGCAACCTTAAAGGTGTGAAACATATTCAAATGATGCTGTTTAAAATTTTTAGATTTTGAATGATGCCTTATTAAATGGTGCCTGCGCTTATCAAGAGACGGGTATAGCCTTGGTGCTAAGGTGATATTATCCTGAGCAAACTCGACATTTTATAGTTGTTAGGGTACGAATGCGATTTGGACTAACATACATCTAAGTATAGATTTTTATATCATAGCACAGCATAGGCATAGCTTAGTCCAGATTTTGATTCTTCTTTTTGTTATGTACATTTGTTTTTTTTTGAACCATTTAAGATGTTTTGCTTATATTTTGTTGGATTTTTTGAGCATCCTAAGTTATATTGCTAATCTAAGTTAGTCTCATTATATCGATTTAAAATTTCAATTCCCTACGGTAGTATAAACTGACACTTATACTGCTGTTTGAACTCAAAAGTCTACTTTTGCATAAAATTTCTCATTTATATTATAATTATCAACTAAAATCACTATAAAAAGCAGATCTTGAAAGACACAGCATCAGTTGTAAAGAGCATTTGCTATGGTGCGACAATTGGTAAAAGATTATATAATACTTAATCTTAAATAATTCTCAGTCTAACTGACCCGTTTGCAGATTCTCGTCCTATTTCTGAGCCTCTTCTGCGGCAGCTCACATGCTGTTGTCAGTGAGTTGGCTCGTCAGGCCGAGTCTGTCATCCAGGGTCTGGCAGACATAAAGATGGCGCCTCTACGCTACTTAGATGTTCTCTTTGGTGCTAATCCCGGAGGAGTTCGCGGTCTTGACGATAGAAATCCTGCAGCTGAAGCTTCTTTAGCAGCTGCTGCCACTTTAGAAGCAGCTAAAGTAGCAAATATATTGGCAAAGGGCAAAATATTTGCTGGAGGCGATATTTCAGTGCCCGGGTATAGTAAAATTTCAGCTGGTGTGGGCAAGGGAAGCGACCTGATCACTATAATCAAGAACACACGGTCCTACGATCCGTACCTTATTCCACCAGGTCTTCCTGGTTATAATTATCCAGTTGGATGGCCTATTCATTATCCATTAGGTCCTTCATGGCCTAATCGACCACCATGGCAACCAAATAATCCGTTAAGTCCAGATGGACCTCACCCTTCACTGGATGGACTACCACCAGGTGGAAATTTCCCTGGTGGACCTCCACCTTCAACGGATGGACTACCACCAGGTGGACCTCCACCTTCACTGGGTGGACCTCCATTTTTACCGGGTGGACCTCCATCTTTACCGGGTGGACCTCCATCTTCACCGGGTGGACCTCCATCTTCACCGGGTGGACCTCCATCTTCACCGGGTGGACCTCCATCTTCACCGGGTGGACCTCCATCTTCACCGGGTGGACCTCCATCTTCACCGGGTGCTTGGCGATTACGATTACCATGGATAATACGTCGTTTCTTACCGGGTGGACCTCCATCTTCACCGGGTGGACAACACCGTCCATTTCCATTACCATGGATAATACGTGGTCTTTTACCGGGTGGACCTCCATCTTCACCGGGTGGACAACACCGACCAGTTCCATTACCATGGATACTACGTGGACTTTGGCCGCGTCCTGTTGGAGTTAAAGTAGGTGCAAGTGGTTCGGTAAATGTAGACGGCGGAATCTTTGGAAACGGTGGACTGTTCGGTACAGGAATTTTCGGACAAAATGGACTATTTGGAACTGGAATTCTTAGTGGACCTTCACTAGACCCCTTTGGCATTTTCACCCCAATCGGAAATTTCTTTGGATCACTGGGAAACTTATTCGGATTTAGTCCACCTAGTCAAGTTATACCGATCTTTGGAGGCAGGTATGGCCCTTACGGTCGCGGATTGCAGGGGTCTATCACCTTGGATGTCGGCGGCATAGTGCCATCGCCAAAAAGGATATTAAAAGGACTTTTGCATCCTTTGTTTGGATTTCTGGGATAGTGCCGAGGAATCGAGTCTGCAATAAAAAATAGACCTGACGGCTTAACGCTTAGTTTTAACATTTAGTATTAAGAAACGACAAGAGTCGGGGTAAAATAAACATTTGTCTTGGCCAAGCTTTGTAATTGTAAAACCCACTAATAAAAGTAAGCAGCATTCCAATTGTAAATCCTTTGAACGGAATTAGGAACATTTGTATACTTTGTTTCATCCCGAAAAATGGTAGATGTAGATTTTACAATTTATATGATATACTTTGTTAATCGGTTGTTGTTTTCTAATTAAAACTTCATTCCAATTTGGGATAAGCAAACATAAATATCTCTTAACATTATATAAAGCTAATGGCTTTTAACATTCAAAATTTCTCTTATCAAGTCCAGTGGCGAGTAACGATTATACGTTTGTTGAAATTGATACCTTAAAATTACCTAAATAGTTGGTTATGTTTTAAACCATTCTAAGGATTTGAAGGGTATATTAACAATACATGAGAATTTTAAAAGGACAAGGATACACAAGGGTGCTGTTTGTGTCAGATCTATCTAACACTATTGTGTTAGATAGATGGAAGCGCTTCCGATCTCATTTATTATATATATTCTCTTCAAAAATGTCTTAGTTTTTTTAAAGTTTTAGTATTTGTCTTGCAAGTTTCTATCGATACGTCAAAAGAATTTTCAATTTCTCCCTCGAACTCCTACTATCGTAGCAACGGGTATATGATAGTCGAAGGGTGCGACTATAGGGGTCTCAATTGTAAGGAAACGAAAATGTAAACTTTGATACGGAAGACTTTGCTAGTAGAGCAAAAAGGCATAGTAGATTCGTGAAAAAGTATATAACAGGTAGAATGAAGCGTTTTCGACCATACATAGTATATATTCTTGAGTAGGATTACTAGCCGAGTTAATTTGGCCGTGTTCCTATGTGTCCGACTGTTCGTATAAACGTCAAGTTTATTTAACGCCCACTAACGGCAAAAATCCACACTAAACTCTCACCAACACTTTATAAAATTGTTTTGATTTTATTATTTGCTTTAAAAATTTTTATTGATATACAAAAATGTATATATTGATATATTGATATTGTTCCCAAACTTATATTTATTTTTTTTTTATGTATCTCTTTTTCTCATTTTAATCGCTATACAGAAATATATTTGCAATCATTTTAAAAAATTATCAAAAAATTAAGAATTTAAGTTGTACTGTGGCGCTCGTGGTCAATCTGGTAAACATTCGCTTCTTACTAAAATGTCTTTAAAGGGAATGCCTTTAACTGAGTGACGGATGTAAGTTCTGTTCTTGTTCTGAAATTGGTGCGTAAGTGATAGCTTATCTACCTAAAAGTAGTATCGCATATCTTTCTTAATCGAACTTAAACGTTGGTTAATGGATAGTGTCTATATTTAGTTGAGATAATACGAAATTATAAAGTCACAAAAACCACAAAAATTATAGTCAGTTTATGGTTAAGAAAATTTATTCAGTCTGTAAAAACATATTAACCTTGACTAGGTGTCTGTACACTTTTACGACTCGTATTAACATATTTTTAATCTGCATTTAAATTGTAAAAATATTGGTATATAAACCCGATTCAAGACTTATTTGCTATCAACTGGGAAATATTTTCAGTAATACACTTGAGCTCAGCGTACATCATGATTCGAATTTTGGTAAGTAAACTCGGATAATTAAAATTGCGCATCCCTAATTATGACTTACCCCGCAGGTTTTAATGATTACATTCGCTTTAATGACTGGTAGTGCTCTTTGTTCCATCGAGCAACTTCTACGTATCTTTGGCGGTGGATCTGGAGGCAGTTCTACGCTAGATATCAACAGAGTGGTAACTGTAGTTCCACCCATTGGCGATCTCTCTTTTGGATATGGCTTTCGTCCTGGATTCTATTAATTTAATCCGCAACTATATTATTTGTTTTGTGTTGAGGGCAGCTGGTTTCATGTAAAGCGTATTCGCTTTATAATAATTAAATATACTATTTATCCAATGCTACAAATACAATCAATTTTGTCACATTAAAATTTTTAGATTCTTCTTTTTTTTTATATTACCCAGCTATGTTGTTAAATAGGGTGCTATTACGCTCTCTGTCAACAAAGATCGCTTAGGTTGAGTAGCCCCATAAAGGTACATAATGTTTGTCTCTTTGAATAGATAATAATGATAATAATGAACCTAACCAGACGATACAATACAATACGTCTACAATAATTTCCTTAGTATCTTTTCGGTCTTTATTTTTTGAACATTATTTGGTATTTGGATATACAAGCAAAATTTTTCCGTTAGACGAGTTTCTTTACACATATTGGCGGCGCCAATATTTTTTATTTTATAAATATATTTAAATATTTTTTTGGTCATAATTACAATAAAATTAAACTTTAGTCTGTTCCCGTGAAATCGAAAACTCTTTACATTTTATGGTGCATATATCCAATTTGAAAGTTTTACAGATATTTCTATATAAACTAGGATCCAAATATGTACATATATCTGCTATCATGCGTTTAACTATTATCAAGGAAGCGACCAAATTCTGCGTAATGTCTCACCTTTTTGTTAATAGTTTCTATTTAAATAGTGCTTTGCAAACTACACACACGTCTTTTAGATTCTAGTACTTATGTTGTGTATCCTGTGTGAAAGTGCTTTTGGTAACGTTGGACCACTTTTACAAAGCATAGACAGGGCACATAATGGAGCCTTGGGTTTAAGTTCTGGTAACATAAGGTCTGGATTTGGCATACATGGTCGCTGAATTCTCCCATTTTTGGTGAAGCGTCATCATAAAATATCTGGTTGACAAAATAAAACGAGCTATTTAATTGTAATTGTTAATTTAGAGAAGTATATGAAAAAATAAAAAGGATAACATAAATTTCAAAGCGGGTTCGATTTAATGATTGAAAATTTCTTTTTGGTTGTTGGTTCATATTTTAATTTATTGGCCCTTCTATAGCAGCCCTTTTCATTCGCAACTGCCATGGTTTTGTCTAGCCTTTTTCCCACTTGTTCACTCATTTCGTAAGTACGTAAATGATTTTGTCCCTTCTTTTGCATCTCAAGTAATTCCTGCGACAAGCTGGCAACGCCGATTTTACAAACGCACATATACCAACAGCACACGCATGTTTTCGATTTTCAAAAGGTACTGATTTTAACCCTTTGAAAGCATTGCCACCCCGAAAATTTAAAGGCCGTTCGTGTGTCTTCACTTATGTATTAGCTTATATACAGGCAAAGGGGAAATTTTCCGCTCATCATGCATGAAAATCGCGTCTATTTACGGGACTAAGTTTTGTGTATATTTAAATATGTATGTATATATTGCATTAGTATTGATGTTCGTTCGTTTTTGTGCCTATCCTTTCAATAATGTTTTTCGTTTTGCCCTGAAGCGTTCTCTGTGAAAAGTTAGAAAATAAATATTAGCAATTTTCTCAATCCAAATGAGCTTACATTAGTTGTGTGGTTGGCTTGTTATACATAAATGTATTGCAGAATAGTAGCTGGATTTTTGTACATTCCTTGAAGTTTCTCATGCAAAAAACTAATATGTAAGAAGAATTCGTTTATTAATAGTGCAGCGTTAAATATTTGTATCCTATATTTGACAAGAACATAAGGAACAAAACTAGTCTTAAAAAAAGTAAATTTATTTAACATTTTTTTGGTACTCCAAATATGACACTGAAATCACAAATTTCAATATGGTTGGACTTCTATAACTTAAAGCAACATCTGCGTATTAGATACACAGACCTCGACAGTTTATGTATACTTACATTTTGTGTAACCAGTTTAACCCTTAGAGACAGATGAGAGAAATTCGTGTTTAAAAATTGTAACTGTGTAGTAGATCATCTTTTTCCTTTAAGAATCCCAAGCCCCTAATTCCACTCCCACATTTGCTCTAAGCTACATATGTACATAAGTAAATATATGTATGTAAATATAACATTTTATAAGAAATTAAACCCCAAGGACACCGTCTCTGTCTGTGCGGACTTTTTACATTTTCTATATTCTGCTTTGATTAACATTCGTTTGTAGGTAGAGGTAGCCACCGTCTTCGTCTGGGTCCAACGACGGAGAGTTTTAATTACTTTTGGGGGTAGTTTTTCTGCTTTCATTTCTTTTCTTGTCGTGGAAAGAAGAAAAAGTCTGAGAATGAACATAAAGAAAATAAAATATACGTGTGCACACAGGCATACGTGTCTCAATAATGTGTATCCCATACATCAATTACTTCGCATATTTCCACACCCTCGAATTGATAAATTCATTCTTCACTGATTTAAACCTCCTCCCAGGAAACATTCCTTTTTCAATTACCATCTTGTATCTAATTATATTGCATACCGTGAACAAAAAAGGCAAAAAAATAATATTCAATCCGGTTTACTGCCTGGGGTTCTTTTTGCCACGGATCTAACCACTTGACCGTGATAAAAATATTTATCCCCTGTTGACCACATGAAACAGGAAATGTATACTTAATTGACCTCAGGGAATGGACAAACACGGGTAAAAGGTGATATTGTGGAAAATCGCATCAACTGACCAAAGCCCTAAGTGATTCGTTTCTATACCTGTTGCGCTGGGTAACGGACAATCAACAGTAAGCTACGAGGGTCGTCATGTCCAGCCAGTTACCCCTCTTCTTTTAGCTTCCCTTGTGGGTCAGTGTCTCTTTATGCCGAATAGCTTGAAGGGATGGTCATCAGGAAGGTCAGTTGCATGTGTGTGTCGCGTGCCCTCTGTGTAAACAAATCAATTACAAGCGCTAAATACGCTTCATGAGCACTCGTTCACATTTGCATTTTAAATTAGCCATGTTTCCTTGTGAGGATTGTCAGAAGTCAGGCCTTTTATGAATTGACCAGGGGCTGTTTATGGTTATATAGTTGTTTATAAAATATAATAAAGGGGCTATTCAATAAATCAACAGCAAAATATCGTGATAAATATTATATAAACATTAAAAGGCACCAAAAATATATCCTAATAAAGGTACTCAAGCTATTAAGATTTCAAGTGGAGTGGCCTGTTCATTTTTACTGCAAGTTCTGAATGCAATACCCCATACCATATTCTCATGTGCTGTGAAAATACGCTTTTATTGCACACACCACTTGACTGAAGCTCGACTGGCATTCAGAGCAGTCAAGTGCGAAATAAAACCCTATCCATCCTCTTTGCACTGGCTGTCGGTTGTCCTGTTTCTGCAGCTTTCACTGCATACTGCATCGTTGCAGTCTCAAGGTCCTTTATTACAGTCAACTGCGAGTCAAACGAAGTGCAACAGTCAACGTGCTTATGCATATGCATTTAAATGCCCTGCTCTCGCTCCTCGATGTGTGGTTCATGCGGTGTTGATGCAGTCTAAGGTTGCACTTTTCTTTTGAATTGGTTTGTTGTGTTAATTTCCCCTTTTATGTTTGGCTCCAACGGGCTGAAGTACGACACGTCATTTTGCAGTTTTCGCACTTCACATTTCAAATGATTTTACACAATTGATTTATTATATATAAAAAAGGGATTTTACTTTATAAACTGATTTGGTGATTCCTTTTGAAATAAATAATATATTTATTAATAAGTAAGTCTTTAATATTCATTTGACCATCTTTTCTGCCAAACTGCGAACTACATTCTCATCGTAGTCCTCAATCTCATCGTCTCCATCATCAATATCGACATCGTTCGGTTTCACAGGATAACCTTGCTCGGGAGGAACAATTTTAACTCCGTGGTCTCCAAACAAGAGACAGTCAAAGTTTCTGAATTCGAACAAAGGATGTTTTATATATAGTAGCTTGACTCGCACCGTTTTAGAACTTACCTTTCAAATAGCTCAAAGCCCTGAAACTCTCCTGACATATACATGCAAACGTGCATATTACGCCCGACAAACCATATATCATGAAATTGAATACAGGCCTTAGCAAAATTAAAACGTGGCGGCCGGAAGCAGAATGGAGGGGGATTCTGGCCAGAGACCTTTTGTCGGAACCAAATATTGTTGTTAACGCGCATTCGCAACTCGAACGAAAATTCTTCGGGACGATATGCCACTTCTGTGCAACTGTTTAATCCAATAACTGAAAGGAAACCTAGGAGCAGACAATTGGATTTCATTTGTGTTTAATTTTAATGCCAAGATAATTTCAACTTACCAGCACAGCACTTGCACAACCCATTGTCACAATTGCAGGGTATGCGGTTCACGATGTTCCCCAATGTTATGTTTGGTAAACTTAATTGCCTGGATTCTTCCTCATGTCTTAGTAAATTAAGACGATGGTTAAGTAAGCCTAGCTGTATAGCTGCATCGTAGGCCAAATCTTCAGTTGGTGGTGGTAATGGCACTACAAGAATTTGAATTAAGCAGCGGAACTAGAAACTTGCAGTGTTTAAAGGCTAACGCCTTTAACGCTTTCAACCTTTTTTGGATCAATTTTAGTTTATACATCTAGATTACCCGAAAAATTACTTTCATCTTAATTTAGTTTTGTTTTTGGAATCGGATTAGTAGATTAGTTCGCAGATTATAATGAAACCATTCGAAAGACAGACAAAACATAAACAAACACATTTTACTCAATCATTCAAAGCAAACTTCCGCGTATGATGTTAATCAGTTCCGCATTAAGCCAACTGAAATAGCCGGCAAGTCACAGCGATCACCTAACAGTTTCAACTATTAACCTTGAATGCACAAACGAGTTACCTGAGTGGAAGATACGAGACGATTTTGATGTCAATGAAACCAACGTAGCAGCTCTTGCGATCTGAGCGTTATGTGGTCAAGATCATGGACATCAATACGTAAGTAGCTTTATGTAGATAGTACACGGAGACGTTAGTTAGTTTTACAATGGATTTAGGTGTATTGCATTTGATACTATGTTATTAAACAGGATTTGCAAGGTCTTCAGTTATCAGAAACAGTTTTGTGAACAAATAATTTCCTACATTTTTTGGATCCTTACCTTAAATATTAGAACGAAATTCAAAGACCCAATAATTAATAATATTAGTAAAGTGGTTAGTAATTAGAATATACGCCTTTGAAAATAAAACACCATTACAAAAAATATTAAAAGAAATATGTTTTATTATACAATTAAAGTAATATAGTTCGTAAACTTTATTATCACAAGTATTCTCAAAAGCAAATGATACATATTTTCAATACATTTGTGGACCAACTTAAAATGTACTTATAAAAAAATTAACTATTTGAATTGCTGTACATTGCCCTATGCAAGGCATATATTTACAAATCGATAAAATATCGGCATTGCGAAAGGATTTATAAAGTTAATAACCAAATAGTAAAAGTATGAAATAAAGTATGAGTTCTTTGTACTACCGGCATCCGACTTGGAAACGGCTAGGAGCGAGGCAGCGCACAGTAAATAGAAGAACAGACGTGAATGTGAGCTGGCTGCTGGCATCTTTGCACGACGATCAGAACGGAAATTGAAACGAAGATTGCTGTTGACCCGCTTTGTGGCCGTTGATTTTACACGCTTTTGGGTTTTGGTTGCTCTTAAAAAATATAAATGTTTTTGTTCACAGTGCTCTGCCTTTACTTTGTTGATTAGTACTTTGTTTCGTGAGCACCAAGAAATAAACTCCTTTATAAACGCAACTTTCGCTTTCGTGCGAAATGCGACGAAAGTTTCTTAGGCACCAACTTTAAATTAAGTATATATAAAGTAAGGTTGAGCTTACACATATGTGTTTCACACTTGGCTTAATCTCAAAGCGCGGGCGCAACACCGTACGTGCTAATAGCCAAAATACAACTGGGAAAGAAAACGGTAGCGCATGAGCATGCTTATCGGACGGGCCAGCAGATGCCAAGCCATCAAGTATGGTACCATCGGACAGGTCCAATATCTCTACTACTATACAAAATACAAAACACATGGAAGCCGAAGTCGGGCCTCGGACGACGATGAATACAAAGAGCGTCAAAGTAGTCTGGCTTCGCGTCTTTTTAAAACGACATATGTACTCTTTTAAAGAGAATGGTGATTGTGATGTCCAGTGCGCGGTGGCAGTAATAATGGATGCAAAAAAAAGATTATCAGTTTGGAATTAATACTAAACTCACAACTAACATATATAGACTTTATGCATACTTAAGTGCAATTCGTTTTGGCCTAGGGTATTAACTGTTCGGTGTGCTTTATTAAAGGTTTAAAGGAGAGAAAAACCAGTATTTTGTGCATATATGTGTGTGTATGTACATATGTATATCTTCACCGTTGGCAGTTCTTTTGATTTCTGCTATAATTTCTCTCGTATCACCTTTTATTTGCTTACATTAATGACTCTCACTTTTTACCGTCGGAATAGGCGCTGCTCGACATGAAATTTATACACTTTTGACATGTAATTTTAATGGTGTTTATATCTTATGTAGCTACTCGAAACCATAGCAAGAAAATATTAGTAGAATGCTCTTTTTTTGTCTATGTCCATAGCAAAAAATTATTAATAAAATATTTTTCTCATTAATTTGAATATGACGACATTGTAATAATGGTGCATACATACTTATTAAATACATCAATGAATGTGGCACACTTTCATTGCCTGAAGATCTTTCTCACTAGTTACCGACTTGTTTACGCAGTAAACATATTTCAGGTTTACTTGGGCTGTCCTACTGAGTTTGTTCTTGTAAACTGGTTACCGGCTGACTCGACAGATTTTAATTGCACGCATTACTTCTACAGTAAAGGGGTATATAAGGATTGGAGGTAACGGTAATAAAGCCAACGATCGTATGTGTGACAGGCTCAAGAAAGTGTCATGCCCACACAGCACACGTGCATATGGGTATCTAATAGTCGAGGAATTGGACAACCGTGTACCTTCTTGTTTTGTATGCCAATAAGATATCGAAATGCATTAAAATTAGTTAGTGCAGTTAAATTAAATAAAAAAAAATCTTTTGCAATCAAAAGCGGAATCTTAGCATATTGTTGCTCCGTACATTTCTGTGACACTGACGCAAGTTGCAGGTAAGAGCAAATAAGAAATTTTTTTTGCCACAGAGGCATTCATTAGGCGCAAGGCTGTGTAGCAAGCATAGGTTAACAAGCACGGACCTTGCTGTATGATTATCCTCAGCGGTACAATCAAAAATTGATTTGTGAAGCTGAAACTGCTGTGCACTTAAATCATGTGAACTCAATTTCTCTTGCACAATTTTCCACTTTTGGCAAATATGTCAAAAAAGACCAGAGGGTACACCAGTAAAAGTCGTGATCAAACATTTCCTTACAGCAAGCCCTCTTTATCCATTGCTGCTTTTGCTTGGTAGCATCTTGGGCTCTAATAATACCATGTTCACTCATGACATCCAATCAATCAGTTAAAACTCGTAGCTGCTTATTCTGGTAATGGAGCTTTTGTATGAATGCATTTTCACCAAGGGAGCGTGTAGGGCGTAGGGGCGTCTACATTTTGTTCTGTGCTTGTACCTTTTCTCTAATCAGAAATCAACAATGGACTATTAAGTCATTATTTGTTGAATATAATATACCCGCTCTAAAGTATGTAATTAGTAGAAGAAATCGTTAAATTTATCAATTTAATAAAATAACGTTTTAAAGGTTGAACACACTGCTTATCCCTCTTAAAGTAATAAAATATTTCTACGAGCATGATTTACATTCAGCTTGGACTTTTTTGGTTTTTTGCTAAAAAAAAAATATCCTCTTCAACTCTGCTTGAACCATCCTTCATTAGCAAGGTTTTGGGGGTTATAATTAACCCTTTTGCATGAGCAACATGTAAAAGGTTATTTAGCCGTATCCCCTTTACCATGCCAACCACTTCATCGCGTATTTTTGAAAACGAAAAATAAAAAAAAAAAACAAGTCGGAAGAACAAAAATTAGTTTGTTCTTTTTGGGTCATCCTGCCGAAAAATGAAAGAATTGCAATATGCACCCACATATTCTCTAAGGACACTTGACTTTCGGCTTCTTGTGCCTTTTGGAGCTTCAGCCAAAAAGAAAGGGCAGGGCTCCACTTTGCCTGTTGACAGCTCCCTTGCTTTACCGTCCTGCATCATAGACTTTTTGTTAACTCTAGACATTTGGCGGTGCCAATTAATTAAGCGAAATAAAAGCCAAACAAGCGGCAACGGGAGTAGGAAACGTTCATTAGTAGCTACAGAGAGTGGTAGTAGGAGTGGGTGAGCCCTCGGATGGATTGCACAGATTCTGGAATTCGATTTAAAGCTCATGCAATTCGTTTCGTTCAAAATGCTGAGCTTTAATTCGCAATTAGCGCAATTCAATCAGCGTAACGCCGGTTTGGGGAGATGCGTTCGGGTGTTTGCCAAAGCCTTGCCATAATCGTAGACGCGCTGAGGCTATCCACGACGACTTTTACCACCTGCGGCTAGCGGTGATTACCAGCAACATGAGCATAAAAATTGCTTACGCTATGTAGACAAAATCTTGGACCCTAGGAGGCGGGTGTCTGCCGATGGCTTGTTTCGGTTGCTTCGTTAATGGAAATCAGAGAACAGAAACTGAGTCTACATCTGCATCTTGAATCAGAGCCTCAGTGATGCCGTGATCTTCCACCAATCGATGGAAGCGTGTCAAGCCCGCGAAATACATATCCTAGTCTGCTTACAAATTGGAATGCCTTTACGTTCTCTCTCCATATATGTTTATACATTGTGTCACGCGCACATCGCTAGATAAGCCTGAACTTTTGTCGGTGCCTTGCAACTTGCTTATGACACATGATGGAGACTGCTGCTCGAGCGGCTATCGACAGACCTATGAGAGGCAGAAACAGATTAAAAGACTTAGTGTACACAATTTATTGGCGTAAACTTTGATTGAACTACAGCAAAGTTGGAGGAAACCAGATATTTGTAGGTGGTCAGTCTTCTGTGTGGAATCAGAAAATGGTTTTTGCTATTTACTGCTCTTGTGTCGGTGGTGGCCATGACCATTGATCACGCCTGTGTTACAAGAAAAAGAATAGTTTGCCTTGCATTATTCCTTACAATATTTGTTTGTTCATTTACACGTTATTCGTCTATGATAAGAGATTTATTTTAGCATTTTTAGTTTGCCTCTTTAAAAATTTGACGTATAGATTTTATGTGGGTTGAAAGAGTTTAGTATCCAGGCTACCTGCCTTGTTGAGTAGGAGCATGCACCGTACCACCTGTTGATCTTCTCGAAAGGGTCAGGCCCCACTGGGGCGCCTTGTGGTGTTCGTTCCATACCATGTTCCTGTAAATCCGTTCGCATTAATAATTTGTAATTTTTCCAAAGCGAAGCTAACTTACTTGAACTTTAAATTTAATTTCTTTAAACAGGCAGTAAAGATAGCCGGTGTCAAATATTCAAACCAATAAGTTGATTACGCTTATTCTGGGAAAACTTGGTCCAACTAATTTCCATGCGTATTCAGATATTGAACGCAATACTTGAACGCAGTCACGTCCCATATGATGACGATGAAGTCAGAATATGGCAAATCACAGATGGAAGAAAAGCAATCATCTTTGCAACTGGTGAAGGGATTAGATGTCTGAAATGCAGTACACAGCAATCTATCACGTATGTAATTCCCATGAAAAATTTTCAGATTCTGGGGACGGCAAATACTAAAAACGGGAGCCAAATTGTTGAAGGTGGACTAATAACATCGAGTAGTTTGGCTGCTCGTGAGTTACATGGTTGGGGCTTGAAGCGTAGCGAATCGATTCGCCAAACGCATTGCACATGATGATGTGCACCAGTTTTAATCCATTTGGACCCATCTGAATGCATTAGGCTGTGGAAGCTCAAACTTGAGTTCAGCACAATTTGCGGCAGAGCAAAAATGCTATCTGCACGATCTGGGCAATCGATCGGGCACCGATTGCTGCCCTCGGTGCGTTGTTGTGGCAACACGTAGAGACCCAATTTCGTAGCATTTCGCCAGCTACTTGTTACGGGTCAGGCGTGGAGCTTCATCATCAATTTCGTAGAGGCCTTGCAGTCTCATAATCCCATGTTTGTTTGCATTAGCCACCGCAGACAGGCTGCAATTATGTCGTTTGGGGTTTGATGGCAACCGGCACTGTGACTGGGACTTTCTGGCTTGTGAGAGCAGCGTAGCTTCAGTTGATTTCGGGGGCAAGCAATGCTCCCAAGCCGTACCCTCACAGATAGAAAGTTCCTAAGCTTTAAAATTGGTAATGCATAATCAATACAGACATCGGTCTTTTTCAGGAAAGGGTATACCATGTTTCATCTCGCTGGCTGTTTATTGCCAATTTGATTGCTCCAGACTTTGTGGCGCATATGAATTATGGGTTCAGTTTATTTTTTAAACCAGCAGTCGAGTCACATTCCTTTGGTCTGCACTTTGGCTTTGTGACTCGGCGGTATTCTGGGCTGCATTCAATGTTTCTATTGCCGGTTAGTGGACCATGGGAAGTTGTGTCCTCGGCGCCAGAGGTATTGAGCGTTAAAACGCGTGCGAAGCGCTTGAAGGCAGTCAACGAACCGCACGCTTCGTTGCCTGTCTGTCTGTCAATTTTTTCCGTCGTCTGTTTTTTGTTTTCTGCACATTTCTCAAAATTAACACTTCGCCACACTCTAGATTTCACTCACTCTTGTCAAATTCATAAATGCGCATAAATTATGCCAAAAACACAAGCCAACCCTGTAAGGGTTTCGCGTTTTTTGTTGTGTTTAAATTTTAATGAGTGAAAAATCATGTTGAACATTTAATGCACATGTCTACTCACAGAGTATTTCTTTTTAACTATACCTTATGTTCGAATATAAATACACTATCAATTTATAAACTATCAGTTTATAAACTTAATTTATAAGTTTCTTTGATTTAGGTCCTGAAAAAAATATACTGAGGTAGAAAAGCCATCGAAAT